ATTACAATTTTCTAAATAGCTATCTAATCACTAAAACTAATATCGTCCTTCAGGCCAATACTCCTAGCGTTGGGAACGACATCCCAACGCTGCAGGAAGTAAAGTCCTGGCTTGGGAAGTGCTTCGCTATGAAGGACCTCGGAGAGGCTGCCTATATTTTGGGAATAAGGATAGTGAGAAACAGAAGTAAGAGACTAATAGGACTTAGTCAGAATACTTACTTGGACAAGGTACTAAAACGTTTTAGTATGGAGAATTCAAAGAAAGGGGAGTTACCAATCCAAAGTAATTCCAAGTTGAGTAAGACTCAACGCCCGAGTACCGATGTCGAGATAGCAGAAATGAGTCGAGTACCTTACGCTTCCGCAGTTTGATTAATCATGTACACTATGACTTGTACTCTCCCTGATGTGGCCTTCGTTTTAAGCATGTTCAACATATATCAAGGGAACCCTGGCAAAGCACATTGGACCGCAATCAAGAATATTCTTAAGTACCTTCGGAGGACCAAGAAATGGTTTCTAGTCCTCGGTGGGAGTGATGACTTAAGGGTGCGATGGTATAGTGACGCCAGTTTTCAGACCGACAGGAACAACTACTGTTCGCAGTCGGGCTGGGTATTTACCCTTAATGGAGGAGAAGTGACTTGGAAAAGTTCCAAGCAGGAGACCATAGCTAATTCAACGTGCGAATCAGAGTATATAGCGGCAAGCAAAGCGTCAAAGGAGGCAATATGTTTGAAGAACTTCATTGGAGACCTTGGAGTTGTGCCAGCCATAAAGGCGCCCATGGAAATTTTATGTGATAATGAAGGAGTGGTTGCCTTGACCAAGGAACCAAGGGATCATGGCAGATCTCGACATATCGACAGAAAATATCACTTTATTCGACATCGGGTGGAAGAAGGACTCCTCGTAGTGAAGAGGATATCGTCAGAAGATAACCCAACAGATCCCCTTACGAAGGGACTGAGTAAGGTTAAGCACTTGCAGCACGCTAGGAGCATCAGGCTGAAGGACGATATTAGTTTAGATTAGATAGTTTAGAAACGTATAACAGATAAATGTAATTGACATTTGATGATTAAATAAAAGAGTATTATGTATAAGTAAAGTTACTGTCTCATGTTAAATTGTTTACCTATTGTTTCATTTTGCATGTTTTGACTTCCTGAATAACAAGATTATTCGAACGGTCCACAGTCGTTCATATGTTGGAAGTAGGTATGAATGAAGACTGTCATGAACTGGTGTGTAGATTGTCTAAAGAGTATTAGACATAGCAAAAGTTTGCTACAACGTTCATGAGTGCTTATGAACTTGATTTGAGCATTGGAATAAACCCACACTTGTTGGAATGTTATTTATCACGAGTGATCGCAAGACGATAATATCATATGGTCTTAAAACCTAGATATATGGTTTATTGTTTGTTAATTAGTTGTGCATTGATAATGCGTAAACGCATCACTAACTTGATGTTATAAAACGCATTGTTGTGTATGATTTGATTAGTGGATAGTAAATTCATATAAGTCGAAGTTTATATGTTCCTTTTAACTTAAGAGGGTAAAAGCGATATCAGGGCCCCTCGATGATTTGATTTGACTTATGTGACGGGCCCGGTCAGGATTTAATTGATGTTTTCAATTAAGTTCTATGTCAAATGAATCAGAGATCGAGAAACAATTGTCGGACAATAAGTATGACTATGTTCCATGTATTTGTCCGCACATTATCTAGAACAGAGGATTATACGATCCCTTATCTGTAGGAAAAGTTATTGATAAGATCAAGAGTTTTGAGGACTGCGATTTCTAATCGGATTCAGAAGGTGCATTTGCATTTATAGTTATTAGACTTATCCAAGTGGGAGACTGTTGGATTAGTGTCTAAGTCCATAACTATATTTGGTATGTACTTGACCCGATTGTGCATGGTCCTTTTGGGTTGCCTTCACCAAAGCAACTTGACTGGATGAATAATATAGAAAGAGGTAATTATGGTTTATTAATATATTATAAGACTAATATATTAAAAGAGAAATCATATTTGTTTTATTAACATTGGTCAATAATTAATTAAGAAATAGTTTTGTGATCAAAAGAAGTTAATTGAACTTAAGGGGCTGAACTGTAATTATGTGATAGTTACAAAGTTGGGCAAGGAAACCCTAATAGATAGGGTGGACGAATTCTAGGGATAAAGCCTTAAGAATTCGTCCATGATAGGGATTCTAGAATTATCCTTGGGTTGCTTGGTGGCTAAGTAATCAGATAAGGATAACTATTGAAACCCTAATTCCTACACCTATATAAAGGACCCTTAGGCATGGGAATTTCGGCCACTTGAACCCTACAAGTCCTAGAGCCGAAATTCTCCTCTCCCCTCTCTCTCTTGTTTTCTTCAATTGCTATTGGTGTTTGTGATTCATTAGAGGCACAACACTTTAGGTGCTAAAGTTCTCAAGGCTTCAAGATCTTCAATCAACAACAAGGTAAACATCTAGATCTGATTTGTGATGTTGATTTCGATTATATGCACTAGATCTAGGGTTAGAAAGTCTTGGATGAATTACATGTACAATATAGAAACCTAGATCCAAGCATTAGGGTTTGCATGAGCACATAGGATGTTCTTTTGGCTCAACCCCATCACTAGTCACCTTCACCAGCGTACCTCATCCCATTCTTAGCCAATGTGCCAAATGAGATTAAATTCTTCCGAAGTTTCGGAACGCACCAGCAATCTAACTTCTTGACCATGTGGTCGTGCATCTTGATCTGTATCGTGCCAATACCCTTGATACCGCTCACCCAATCATCACTCATACTGAATGTGCCATCCTACTCTTTAAAGGAGTCAAAACAGTCACGATTATCCGTCATGTGATAGGATGCTCCAGAATCAAAGACCCAAGCTTCTATAGAACTAGATGTACTAACAGCCAACACATCACCATCGTCCCCTTCATTAGAACTTTCCTGAACCACAACAGCAGTACTATTGTTGCTTGATTCACTCTTGAACTTATTCTTTAGCTATGGACAATTTCGCTTGAAGTTCCCCTTCTCCTTATAGTTATAACATTTCACATTCGATGAACCTTTAGACATCAATCTAGAACGTAATCTCCCTCTGTCCCCCCCCCCCCCATCATCTCTTATGTCCTTCCTCTCCCTACGAACAAACTGGAACTAGACACCTCCTCTCAAACTTAAACTTTTCTTTTCAGTTCCTTGGACATCAAAGAGTCCTTCACACCATTCATAATGATCGTTGACCTACCACAGAGCATGGTATCAACGAAATTCTCATATGAGTTCGGAAGAGAACATAAGAGAATGAGCGCCTGATCTTCATCTTCAATCTTCACATCAACCCCTTGTAGATCCAAGATGATGCGATTGAAGTTATCCAGATGATCTTTCACTTGGGTACTTTCACACATTCTGAGAGTGCACAACATTTGTTTTCGATACAACCTGTTCGTTAGTGAGTTGTTCTGCTACTTGTCACAAAGTTTATCCCAGATCCTAGAAGAAGATATTTGATCTAGGACCTCCCTCAGTACTTTATATGTTGATCTCAACATAATGGAACTATGTGCCTTCGTCAGAATGTCCACCTTCTTTTCAGCCGCCATGTCCTTTGGCAATTTTTCCTCTTCTTCCAGTGTCGCTGCACATCATTATTCAACCAGAAGAGCCCTCATCTTTACCTTCCATAAAGTGAAGTCATTTGAACCATTTAACTTCTCCAAATCAAACTTGTGAGTAGACATCTTCAATCAAAGGAATACAAACCACAGGTCTGATACCACTTATTAGGATCCCTACTAGCCCAATTATGCTCAACATAGAAGAACAACGAGGATCTATTTTCTAAAACCAATTGGTGATAGAAGGGATTACCCATTACCTTATATGCTAGCATACAGTTTCTTTTTTTACCAATGTAGGATTAAGTTTGCATCCCAACAGTCCCCCTACGTTGAAAGAAAAGAAGATATAGAGGAAGGTTGTCAGAGGTAAGAGAGTATGATCAGGTTAACTGGTAAGGATGGTGGTGGTTAATGGTGAGTGGAGAAATAGATAGAGTCGTTCTTGATCTCACTGAAAGTAAAGCAGGAATTGAATTTTGGGGTTATAAGGTACTCTTGATGGTGGTAGTGGGGAAAAGGCCCATGGGTTTTTTTAATATTTAAATATATAATTAATAGTAACAATTACTTTTTTTACAAAAAAATTTAAAGGAAAAAATAGTTTTTTTTATACGGGAAAGGTACTAAGCGGTCAACAAAAATACATTTTAGGGACCTTCCGAGTTAAAAAAAAATTAGAACAAAACACGCATATTACCCCAAATCACAGGACCATACCCTTATCCTTGTTTTAATCCAAAACCCCCCATTATTGTTCGTTGTATGTGCTTTCTCCGACGTAACAAAATCAATCCGTTCGTCGTATGTGTTTGCTTTTGAGCTTTTTTTTTCCCTTTGTTATTATATTAAATTTTATCTTTTTTTAGTTTTTACGGATCGAGCTCAAGTTTATTAGTTGCTTAGCTCGTATTCTTTGATATCTGTTTTTCATATTCTGAAATTATAGCTTTTGAATGGCTAAGTGACCTTAATTAGTATGGTCAATCTCGTGTAGAACCAGTTTTCTAATAGTTACACACTTACACTAAAGTTATATTTTAGCCGTTTATTTTTGTTGAATGTGTTGCGTGATATGTTCGGAAATAATATTATAATCCAGATGAAGGGGAAAATGATTTGTCGTATATGTTGACATTTTGTTTGTTCATGGTATTATATATATGAATATGATCCTCTTCATCAGTGAATTCAAAAAAACGCTTTTAAAGAAAATGATATTGTCCACCCTTGATTCCAGTACTATAATCTGAACAGCATGGAAAGCTTTGATATCTGGATAAGATGTATCATTATTCTAATTTCTACAGCTGTACTTCTATGACAATTAGCTTACTCAGATCCAACTTATACTAAATAATTCATTTATCTACTAAACCATTAATACAACAAAAATTATCAACCAAATCATCTCAAAATTATCTAAAATATGGAAATTTTCTTATTGTCATCAAAACTGCAAGCCCCATGTCTTCAACAGGAGGGGATTTCATAAACCAGAGGACCGGTTTGCATACTCCTGAACCAGTGACCCAAACAAAGAAGCTCTCTCAATCAAGCGTGAAGGTTTGTCAAATTCTTTAGCATAACCTGTTTCCAACAATGCACAACACAACACAGTGAGTTCGGGAGGTTGAAAACCAGAAGCACAGAAAGTGTTTTCAAGAGAAAAATGAGAAATTACTCACCAGCATCAATGACAAGAACACGATCACAATCCATGACTGTTGGTATTCTATGAGCAATGCTAATGATTGTACATTCAGCAAAGTCTTCTCGTATGATTTTCTGAATGACCGCATCTGTTTGTGAATCCACTGAAGCTGTTGCTTCATCCATGAACAACAACCTACTGTGCTTCAGCATCACTCGCCCCAAACAAAGAAGTTGTCTTTGTCCCACGCTCCAGTTATCTCCATTATCAACAACTAGGTACGAAATCAATATGTTCAAACACAAAAATTAGATCAAAGATTTTTTCTTACATCAAATCAAGTGTTAGGGTCAGTTTGTTTCATCTAGTTATACCTGGAGAATCTAGTTTACCAGGTTTTGAAGCTACAACATCATCAAGTTGGCATCGTTCAAGACTCTGCAAAACAAGTTTCTTGCATGTATAAGAGATTGATTGATTCATAAAACTTGTCATGCATGTTCCATGGAAAATTAAAAATTACGTACGTACCCTCCAGATCTGTTCATCGGAATATTGGCCAATAGGGTCGATATTGCTTCTCACAGTGCCTTCGAAAAGGATCGGTTCCTGAGGAATGATTCCAAAACGAGACCTGAGATCATGGAGTCCGATGGTGGAGATGTCGATGCCATCAACGATTATGCTTCCGCCAGAAGGCTCCACCAACCTAAACATGACCTGGATCATAGTTGATTTTCCACCTCCGGTTCTACCAACCACACCAATCTTTTCACCTCCTCTAATGCTCAGTGTAATCCCTTTGATCACCAGAGGCGTATTTGGACGATATCTGACCTGTTCTCACAATCCAACATTCAACAGCTTCAAAATCTTAAAAACGGTTGTAACTTGTATTTGGGGTGGGATAGGGTCGAGTTATTGTGAGAACCAAAAGATTTGCGAGAACTTGAGTACTCATAATCTGCTCATCATTTCTCAAAATTAAAAACATAAATTATTTTCAAATGTTGCGTCTAATCCATATCTAGGCTCAAAAAAAATTGTCATTTTTTTTTAGAAATTTGCATTGAAGTACAATCAGCAGTTATATGGGCTGTTGATTGTGCTCATCAGCAGTCTATATGACCGATGATTATGCATAAATCAACATTTCCAAAAAAACAAAAAAAAAAAATCGTCAAATCTTTTTTTAGCATATATATATCGCTTAGACGCACCATTTAGAGAAAATTGGTGTTTTTGATTTTGAAAAATGATGAACTCATTAAACCAAAAAAGCAAGGAACCATTACTTTTTCATTTTCAGGTTTTAGAGCTTATTCTTTATCGAAAAAATATATATATCTAAATTCATAGCTTCATGTTGTGAATGTAAAATATAATTTATATATTATTCTTATTCACAATGTGAATTCAGATTCACAAAGTGAACTTGCACAGATTGTGAATTTGACGAGATAAATTTTTTTTTTTTATAGAACTTGAAATCAATGGAAAGCGGATAAAATGATTCCTTGTTGTATATATTAATTTTTTTCGTTAAAAAATATACTCTAAAAGTTGAAAAAAAAAATATTGGTTCTTTGGTTCCATAGTTTAAAATGATTCCTTGTTGTATATATTCATATTTGATATTTATAAGTTATCTACCTGCAAATCTTGGAGCTCTACATTTCCATGAGAAGGCCAATTTGAAGGAGGGCGATTGTCTTTCTTCACCCATTCAGCCTCTGATGGTAAGTTATTGAACTGTTTTATCCTCTCAACAGAAACCATTCGGTTTTCGACTGAGCAGCTCATATACACAGCCCAAAACAACGATACATTGAGTGACAATCCATACGACAAAGATAGTCCCACATTTTCTATAATGAAGATGAAAGATCCACATTTTCAACTTCAATCAGTTTTCTAACAAAAAAAACAACACATGGCAGGGTTTAATAAGTTGTGTTGGGAATTTACCTGGTTTAACGATACTACTAGGCAAGATGATCAAGAACAACGTGGAAACACATAAAAATAAGCTTCCAAGGAACTCCAAACGGAAACCTAACCACTCATTGGACCCATTATTGTGGAAATCCATTCTCAAGTTTCCATTCACACGATCAACATTTTCTTGAACAAACCTCTCCTGCTTTTTAAAACACCGAATTGTCATAACCCCAGAGATGCTCTCCGAGAAATGGTGAATAACGGGTGCCTTTGTAATTGAGTCAAGTCGTGTTAATTCACGAGATGTTGCAAGAAAGTATCCCTGAATTAAATTAATGAATCAATAAATCAGAATTTTGATTTGCGTTATTACATGTTAAATTTTGAACGTACCCGATACCAGAAATTGAGCCAACCCAATGGAATCAGTAAGAACACAGTTGGCCAAGCATACTGACAAGTGACGATGATTATGCTAATCACTGATATATACATAACAAGACATAGGCTCATCAGGAACGGAACTAACACATCGATGTTTGTTTGATCACTTGAAGCCTGAAAAGATTCAACACATAAGCATTAAGCATAGCGAGGGAGGGTCTTTTAACAGAAATCGGAATGTATGTATTAAGAAACTTTACCCTGCTAAGAATCCTTCCTGAAGGTGTAGTGTCAAAAAATGACATTGGAGCATGAAGAATGCTGTGAAGCATCTGCGTGAAGAAACTCTGGGAGGTTTTAAGCCCGATGATTGTTGAGGAAATGACTCTACCGAATACCAAAAGGAAGGACAAAAGAGCGATGGATATATAAACTTGTATAAACAGCGTAGGGTTGAAAGAGGATGCACGTGTGTCGGAGGTTTCATAGGACAACCAATAGTCGCTTGCCATCTGTGCACCTTGCCATGCGAATGAGAAAAACAAAACAATAATCACACCCCACCATCCAAAAGCCTCGGTAAGGTACACTTTATAGACACTTGAGCTGATCCTTCCCGTTTCTCTCTCTTCTTCTTCAACTAATTTCGATGTGCCTATGATAGAACTAGACTTGGATCTTTCTAATTCCTTCTCATCTTCTTCCATTGGGTTATGGCTAGGAGACTTCTGAAGAGGTCTAGGAGAAGGGGTTTCAGTTGTTTTAGCTCCCATTTCTACTAGTTGCATAGAGGCTTCGTGGGCAGACACTAGTGCCTTAAAATCTAAGCCAGATTCTAGAAGTTGATCGTATTTTCCTGATTCAACAATCTTCCCATCTCGCATCACCTGATACAATCAAAGTTAAATTTAATCATCCATGTATCAAGAATCAAGACCTTAATCTCTACAACTAAAACAAACTCCTTGTGTACATTTGCTTACTAAGATTAGATCAACATTATGGAGGAATTCAACTTGGTGGGTAACGAGCAAGATTGTCTTGTTTCTAAGAGCTCCCCTCACACACTCCTACACCATCAAAAACAAATATAAACATAAGGATTTGTATGGAAAAAACAAAAATACATGAATTTTCATATTATACTATGATGGATCAATCGATCAATCACCTTGAATATTGAGGAACCCGTGTGAGCATCTACAGCACTAAAGACATCATCAAGAAGATAGATATCACAATCTTGATAAACAGCTCGGGCAAGCTGAATCCTCTGCTTTTGACCACCACTCAGGTTAATCCCACGCTCTCCGATTTCAGTCTGATCTCCAAATTCCATCATTTCCATGTCTTTCTCCAAGCTACAAGTCTTTATTACTTCCTTGTATTTCTGTTTATCCATTGGCAAACCGAACAAAATGTTCTCTTGGATTGTCCCATTCTGAATCCATGCCGTTTGTGCAACATATGCAGTGCTTCCGCACACCCTCACCTATTCCATATATCAACAACAAAGTTTATCACATGTTGTTTAATCAAGTTTGTTAAGATCGGAATCTTACGCAAGATCGTTTTATATTTTGCAAGATCGTAATCGTAAGATCGGATCAGGATCGGAAGATCCTACCAAAATGAATTTATATTTAAATTTTCTTGTAAGGTCGTGGGTGTGCAGTATACATTATAACTTGATGTCGATTAAGACTTCAATATGAAGTCAACTTTTTATTTTTTAAATATAAATCATAATTTTTGTTGTTGCAAACCGTAAAAAAATTATGAAGAAAGCATCTTAATTATAAAAAGAAACAAGATCATTATGATCTACAACTAAAGGCTTACGATCACAAACGGAATATCATGAGTGTAATCTGCCTAATTTGAGATGAAGTGATGATGGTGTATAATAATTTTGCAACTTGCAATACTCGATTTCATGTGAATAAAAAAATTAGGCTCGACTATATAATAAAACTACAGAGGTTATATCGGATCGTATTAAGATATTAAGATCTTAGTCGGGATCCTAAGATCCCACTATAGATGTTGTTTCAGATAGATCTTAGTGAGATCTGGATCGTTTTTGGTTTGCAAGATCTTAAAATCGTAAGATCTTAAGATCAAAATCGAGGTCTTAACAACAATGTTGTCAATAATTTCAATATTTTTTTTTGAATGGTTACCTTCCCGGAGATTTTGTGCATTTCGCCAATAACCGATGAAAGAAGAGACGATTTCCCAGAACCAACAGTCCCAACAATTGCAGCAAGTTCACCTTTTTTAATGGTAAAATTTAAATTCTTGACAACACCTCCTTCATCACCTTCATCATCCCAACCAAAAGACCCATTTTCAACTTCAACCGTTGTCATCCCACTACAATCCTCCTCCCTCTCCACTGCCCCCTCATCCAACTCCTTACTTAACATGAACTCATCCAATCTACCCAACGAGATCATGGCTTGAGAGAGGGAGATCATCGACTGTGGGAATGTTCGAATCGGCTCTTGTAGATTCTTGATAAGTGATGTGGCAGTGAACACTGTCCCTGCATCAAGTGGGATCCCAAACAAAACCGCACTCCCAAAGGTGAGTGAAGAGACAAACAAAGGTGTGCTCCACAAAAGGATCATGTTTCCACCGAGGGAAGTCATGAATTTTGTAAGCCACCCATATTCAGACTCACGAAAGGCTTGAATCCTCTTGTTGAAATGTTCTTCCCATGCTTGGAACTTAATCACCCTCATGTAGTTAAGCATCTCGTTTGTTGCTTTCAACCTCGAGTCACGCTTTTGCATTATCTTAAACTGAAATTTGTTGTTCCTATTAGTACCCAAAATCACAAGAATGACAATTACCAAAATCCCTACCAAAGCTACCAACGAAGGTCTCCCAAGGTATGAGTAAAGAATGACTAACGCCACTGCAACTTGGAGTGGCATAAGCCAAATAGCATGCAACTGAAGCATCATATCTGAGAGTTGTTGAGCATCTACAGCCATGTAATTCACAATCTGTCCAACACCATGGGATTGTCGAGCAGAGCAAGAGAGGCGTAACCCCTTTTTGTAAAGGGAAGTTATAAGGGTGGAGCGGATTAACATTCCAAGCATCTGAGAATGGAAATTGAAGTGGTGGGTTGACAAAACTTCAATTAGTTTCGCAACAAGAAGGATTAGTATCAAATAGTATCCCTCATATGGGGAGCTACTCTTCCCTGAAGTGAAATCTATGAATCTTTGGATCAACAAAGGCCCAACATACGTGACACATAGCTTTATAATCGCAAGAAAAGCAGTGAAGGCGACATTTTTCCAAAAACATCGAACCAATGTAACCCTCACAGGGTGTTTCGAATTTTCATGAGGCTTGGGCCAATTTTTTTCAAAAAGTTTGGAGAGTTTCTCAGCTTTGTGTTGGGGTGAAAGTGTTGGGATGTCTTTCAGTTTTAAAGGGGTTTTGTACCCTTTCTTCAACAACGGGTTCATCCATATCCAAAACAACTTTGATGGGATTGAAGCTAATGCCCATCCACTCACTTCTTCTACCTCCGACTCTAATACTTTACCATTACCATTTGGTACTAGTGATTCTGATTCTCTATTCACTATGATTCCGGTTGACCCATTTATGGACATAATTAAGAGGAAAACCGAAAATGGCAAACATATCAATGAAATTATGTCTTCGGATTTCAAAACTGGAGTGTTGGAAACCAACCGGATAACACCAGAAGAAGCCATTAAAGCAATGATGATGAAATTTACAACCCACAAAACACGAAGGGAGAGCGGATGTGTTGAGGCTTGAAATCTCTTCTCGTGGATGATCAACAAAATGATTACAAGGAAAACCATAGCTTGAATCAACCAACAAATCCCATCTATTAGCTTCCATGATATCTCGTTGTTTTGTACAAATGCTAGAATAGATGAAACCAAAGATAAAACCACTAGAATTGTTGTGACGAGTAAAGTCAGCTTAAACCAAATATTGGTGTTATTGACAACAAGTCTACTTTTAGGAAAAAGAGGTTCTTCTTCTTCATAGGTGGAGGTGGACCTTGAATTGAGCTTATGAATTATCGCAAAGAGGAAGAGGATGATCAGAAGGAAAAAGACATCGATAGAGGATAAAAGTGCTCTTTGAGGGCATGGACAGAGGAAGATGAACCTTAGCCATTGGAGTATGGTTGAAGTTCCAGAAGCGTCCACCACCACAGAGCTTGAAGAACATGAAAGAGAAGTCATCCAAGATGAAGCACAAGGAGCCGTCTCTAATTTGACGTATATATGCTCAAACCCACTAAAGATTTTATTTGTGTTAGCTTGTGGAATACTTTCGATTTGTATTCTACACTTCAACACGTCTCAAAACCAGAAATATAGTTTAAATAAACATTGAATTGAATTCAGTGCATGCAATGCATGCAAAATACGTTTCTCGTTGAAGTTCAAGAAAAGAAGATAAACTTTAATACGGTAAATTACACTTACGGTCCCTGTGGTTTAGGGTAATTTTTATGGTTGGTCCCTAACATTTTTTTCTTAACGCATATAGTCCCTGTCATTAGGTTTTATTTCGATTTTGGTCCCTAACTGATGGAAAGAATAAAATGCCCTTGGTGATTTTTTTTCTCTTTTTTAATTCCTTTCTAGTTTTATACAATATTAATCACAAATCAATAACTGATGGAAAGAATATACACACTACAAAATACAGTATACAGAGTAAACGTTGTACTCCTTCAAGATACCACCGATTCAAAGCACCCATTGAAGGCATCGATTCCAATTTAATAACTGCCATAAGTAATAAATATGGTCCTTGATGTGCATTGATCGAATTACCCTTGTGTAGCTTATATCTTTAAACATTCCCCATTAAGCTAAACAGGGAAAACGCCAAACTTTTTCTTCAACTTCCTGAGATCACGAAGCTGGAAGATCTTCAGTTCTTCATACACATTTCTGTAACATGTGTTGCATTAACAAACATAATGTCTTTTTAATATGACAACCTCATGGCCCTTAAGAACCTTGCCCATCATGGAAGATTATAAAGAACAAGCTTTGTATATTATCCATCATCACGGCCCCTGAAATCCTCAACACATTCACACACAGTACATTCCTACTTCACACCCACAACAATGAATTTGATATTTCAAAAGAATTTCACATAATCCATTTGATAAACAAAGAACTCGTGATTGTGAATTCGGTTTTACAAAACCACTTAATAATCTTCATGCAAACCGATCGCCCTACTGCAAATCAAAGCAGAACAAGCACCGCTCACCCATGTGAACTCTGGATGGATGACCCCGTTACCTTAAAATTTGAAATTGAACCCCAGTTCAAGAATGAAGATACATCGGGGTTTATGTTTGTTGGAAATAGCCAGACGGCGGCGGTCGAGAGATGAAAGAAGTGTGATGGTGGTCAGTGTTCTCCGAAGTTCATCCTTCCTGCACCTACATGTTTCTGGTTCCAGTTCGCCGGAATCAACCAATCAGCGGCAGGGACGACATCTACGGCTTTGACGGTAAGGAGATAAATGGGTGAGAGTCGATTGCCGACAGGTCAGGCGTTTCCGGCGGCTTTTTTCTATTTTAGGTTTCTTGACTCTTGAGTTCATAGAATGAAAGAGAAAAGAGGGAAATCAAGTTTATCGTGTGTTTGACTTAGCTTTTCACAGCCAAAAGTTCTTTTTTGAAAAAGAAAAAAAAACAAAAGATGTTTGCAAAACTAGTTTTAAAAACTACTTTTTGAGTTTTGATACAAGAAAAATGAACTTTTTGAAAAAGTCAGGAAAACCTGACTTTTTGTAACTTTTTCAAAAATGACTTTTGGGCTGTCAAAAGCTAAGCCAAACACCCCCTAGAAAACGATTCAGTGGATGGGTAGTTGGGGTAGGGCAAAGGTTGTTGTGGTTTTTAATAATTTTAAAATTGAACAAATTATCATTTAGCTTTATAGTTTTTCTTTGATATGGTTTTTACGTAACTTTTTTCCCTGCGATGGTCCATACGCAGTAAACTTTGCACACAAAAGGTCCTTATTAACTTTGTTAAAAGATTTTGTTAAGTATATGTGAAAAGACGAAAATGCCCTTTGTTTTAATTTTTTCATATTTATTTTAATATGTTGTTAAATTGAAATAAAAAAATGGGGTCTTTTCTCTCTCTCTCTCTCTCTCTCTCTCTCTATCTCTCTCTCTCTCTCTCTCTTCTTCTCGTTTTTATTCACCACCGGCCAAGGAAGAGGCTGCCAACCACCGGAACTGCCCTTCCTTCCTCTTTCTGTCGCAATCCAGCTCCACAAACACACCCTGCGGCTGTTGTTGTCCCCCTCGATCTCCGCAGCCCTGCCAAAAGGCTTGGTCGTCGGAAAAATCAACCAGAAGAAAGGAGGATGTTGCCTCCAATCGGGCCCCCTCCACCCCCTTCTCCAGTCGAGTAGCATCACCCCAAACACCCTATGTTTCTGTTTTACTTGATCCCTGTATCCCCGTTGTAACATCCGTCTCTCGAGGTATTAATTAATTATGCAAATTAATTTTGGTTTTGGACTAATGTTTGGGCAATGGCCCCTTTTGGAATGGACCTTAGAAGATTGGGCCAAGGAGTGAGCTGCCCATAAGCCGTACGCGGGGCGTAATCCGGCGTACGCGGGGCGTAGTAATCACATTGGTTGCGCGGGACTCGGGGGCGTACGCGCAGCGTACCATGAGGTACGCCCAGCGTACGCGGGCAGATGCCAAACCCTAATTTTTAGGGTTTAAGACATATATAAACCCCATTATAGCCTCCCATTTGGCCTCCTCACCTGCCCCTTACTCTCAGAAAACCGTGGTTCGTCCCTTACTCCATTTGCTTTGTGTGCTTGACCTCTTGAGTTCATTTTGGTGAAGAAGGGCTTGGAAGAAGTGAAGCAAGGTTGAAGGAAGAAGCACTTGAGTATCTTAAGCTCTAGGGTCTGGAACAAGCTCACCTTTTGGCACTCAAAGGAGGTATAAAGCTCCTACCTTTCCTTCTTGAATCATAGATCTAGGGTTTTGAAGATTTGGACCTTTTTAGGTCCAAAGATTTGATCTTGAGCATGCAACTCCGTTTTTGAGCTTAGGGTTGCCACCCTTGAAGCTCAATGTGTTCCTTTAGCTGTAAAGTTGCAAGCTTTGAGGCTTTCATGAAGCCATGCAAGAGATCTAGCCATTTCCATGATGGTTCTTTGTCACTTTTTAGTGTTGGACTCATTTGGTGGCTTGCAAGCCACCAAGTGATCGACTTTATGGGCTAGGACAAAGCATGGGACTCAGATCTGTAGTTTGGATATAGTGTCTTAAGGGATTAAGTCGTTTTGGAGAAAAGTGCTTATCAGGAGACTATATTGGGCATACACGCCAGTACGCGCAGCGTACAATTCTTTTCAGCAGTACGTGCAGCGTACATAGAGGTACGCCCAGCTTACGCTCAGTCAGTGGACTTTTGTTATTGGGCCTTGGTTTGGGCCAAGTCTTGGACATAGTAGTAATGGGCTGTGATGGGTCTTCAGAAGCCAGTTAAGGGCCCAAGGATTTGTAAGCTTGGAAGGGAAGCTCGTTTGAAGAGTTGGGCCCAATTTAGAAAATTGGGCTATTTGGGCACTTAATGGGCCTTAGTAAGGACTAGAAAGGATTAGGCCTAGGTCATGGCCCAAAATAGATCAGAGGGGTGAAACAGTCATTTTACCCATAGGAGAGTCATCAGTTTTTGACTAAATGTTTATTTGGTCATTATAGCCGGGGAGTAGTTGGAGCAGCGGACAGTGTCACTTTCGCACGAGTTTGTCAGCAGCCAGATTGAGAGGTGAGTTTCCTTCCAGTAGGAACGGGTCTACGGCCACAATGCCGGCCCGTTTAGATGATAGTAGTTCCGGACTTCGGTCCGATGTCGGGGTGGTCCCGAGAAGTAGTTATGTATGCTTGATGTCTTCATGATTCATGCATGTTTGTGATATGTGTATATGTTTTTGGACTCCGGTCCGATGTCGGGCAAGCCCGATGCAGTATATGTGATTATGTTATATGTTCATGCTTATGTTATGCTCAGTTTATTCCGGACTTCGATCTGATGTCGGGCGGGGCCTGATGCAGTGAGCAAGGCCCAGTATGTGTTATATGTGTTATTGTATGGTATGTGGTAGTTTGGGGGATCTCACTAAGCTTTGTGCTTATCTTTTTCAGTTTTGGTTTCAGGTACTTCCACTAGCAAAGGGAAGGGATCAGGTTGATCGCATGGCACACACCATAGTCATAGCCTGGGAGTTTGCTCTGATGATTTGTTATGAGATTTTGATTTGAGACAGATACTATGATTTTTTATGATACATGATTTAGTATTTTACTTATGACTTTGGATGATTTATGATTTTAACAATGATTTGAAAACAAAATTTTTGGGTCATATTTTTGGGATGTTTCAAGTTTGTATCAGAGCCTTGGTTTGAGGGATTTAGATATACTTTCGGGTGTGTCTGAACTCAAACTAAGGAAATGGTATAAAGATTTTCAAAAGAGTTTTGAAAAAGAAAATGAAATTTTAGAAAGAAAAGAACTTTGAAAATAGAGAAAAAAAAGGGTGTGGTGCATGCAATCAGTCGAGCTCAAGTAAGTACTCCCAGATTACCCATACAAGTTTATGTTATGATATGTTTATCAGCTTTATAAGAACAGCATGCTAGATTAGGGCTAACGATCTAGGAAGGATGCCTTATGTGTCTGTTATATGTGTGTCAGCTTTATGAGAAATGCATGCTAGTACAGATCAGTCAGTATGATAGCTAGAGTAGTATGTGCTTGATTATGTGTACTCGATGCTCGAATGCTACTTGCTTTGTGCTTTTAGGAGTCTTAGTTATCTTTGACTAACTAGTAAACGAATATGTTACATTGCATATTGCGAGGATTAAATAATTTCAGAAGGTTAGGTCTAGCTCTATTGCGCAGCTCTTGTTTGAGTCCAACCGTTGTAGGATAGGATCTCTCATTCGAAGAATTATCTAGTCTGAGTAATATGTAATAGTATTCGTGAGCTAGTTAGGGGAAGAAAGCAGGGACTTCTTATGCAGTTGATGGCGAAGAGTGAGTTGGTGATTACCCTAGGGCAAGCCTAGGATGAGAGTAGCAGAGAACAGTAGCAGTAGAAGGGACTTGGTGGAGTCGAGGCAGTTCTTGAGAAAAGTACGGATAGATGTGGAAGGTAGTATAGGCATGTACTACTGAAAGCAGAGGATCCGTACTCGAATCAAGGAAGGCTGAGATAAGACCAGGGAACTTGTAGTGTATGTGATCCCTCCAGTTATATTAGTATTCTGACGTTTGATATGATG